ATTTGTTAAAATCTTGTATCTGTTTTTTAATCTTAAACACCGTTTTTAGAATAGCCTTTTACGGAAAGGCTGTCAATTGTTTTGTTTAAATATCTTTTATTTAGAACATTTAACTTAATAAAAAGTAAGATGGCTGTATATTTTGAAAACATTTTGTGTATCTTTTATACGGAGTATATAATAAGATGTTAATACTTCTGTTTTTGTGAAAAAAATATTGAAAGAATCAACCCGAATTATTGCTTTCTTTGTTTCTGAGAGTTCCAATACTTCATTAACTGAATTCTAAAGTGTTTCATAAATTGGTTGCAGTACGAATTAAAAGAAGGTAAGTTTATTATATATGTGGGGAAGAGTTTATAGAGCATTATAATTTCTCTCTCCTTTAACAATAAAGGAATGTTGAGCTTTACATCTGGGAATTAGTTTTATGCTTTCTGGACACTGTGATAATGTTCTTTATACTCTCTTTATTTGTTTCATCCCGCTCAAGTGATATACTCAATTGTGTTGGTTTGCATTCCTGGTCAGCATCATTCCAAGTTTACAAGACTGCTATCCTGAAAAACACAACAGACAGAACACTTGGAATTTCAAACACAAATCCAGTCACTTTATCGTAGTTTCAAGCACCAAATTCACAATATTTAGCAATCTGAATTGAAATAGTTTTAAAAGAAACGCATAATTCAATTTAAGTTTTAACAAAAACCATTAGCAATCCAAAAAAAGTTTTCCATCTGCCCATTTTTCCTTCTACTGCATTTTTGTACTACTATTGTTTGTAAATCATTTTAAATGTCCTTTGAGCGAGACCCTCTTTATTATTAGGTGTTGCATTTATAGTCAAACCGGTCATCCACTTATGTATTTACATTTATCATTCGGTGTTACTTATGAATGCAAAAAGTAACATTAACACCATAAGTTATGAATCCATAGTATTACCTTTGTTTTGCTGACTACCCATACTTCCCCTTTCATTGATAATTCCTAAATTGTGTTCAATCGCCACTGCGAAATAAAAAGAAAAAAAATAGATATTAATTGGTACGGAGTAAAAAATATGGATATAAATATTGAAAAAAGGAAAATATATGGATATTACTCCGTATTTGTTTTATTTTGACTTTTTCTACCTTTGTAGGGTGGCAAGGATTCATGGAAGCCCGGTTGTCCTGTAGAATAATTTCCAGCTTCTGCCCTCTAATTGTGGCTGGAATTTCTTGCCCTCACACAACTCTCTCCCTAAGCGTCAATGAAGTTTATTGTTTTGTGGAATTTCACTTGTATAGGAACCATATTTATAGTGAATTGGCTGTTTGTTAATTTACATTTTTTCCAACCCGTTGCATCAGACCCGACCCGACAATTGACATGTGACTTTAGGTGGGAAATTTGCTAGGATTTCCACTCTGGCTTGTATATAGAGAGATAATGCACTTTTGTTTCAATAATTATGCAATTTGTATATAATATATGTAACATTATTTTGAAATATTTGAATTAATCAAATAATAATGTCCCATAAGTGTGGTGCAATGATGGCGGATATTGTAACGGTTTCCGTTACAAGAGCCACCTTGATGGTAGGTGGCTATATAAGTGCTCCATGGTCCTCCCACTCCTCCTATCACAACCATTGTTTGTAATTGCGCAATGCAATTGCGCCTCATGGCGCGCCTCAGCTAATTCCTGGACTATGGCGTAAAAGGCATTGCATATGGCGCTGGGAGTGTGACGTACGCAATATTGCACTGAGGCGTACGCAATATTTATACGCAATAAGGCGCTCTGAGGCGTACGCAATAAGAGGTCAGGGTGTAAGGGTATTATTTGGGCCCACTCGGCCCACTTTTAAAATTTTTATAATTGATCTTATGATCCCTATTTCAAACCAGTAGTTATTGATTGAATTTTTCAGTCAATCAATATAATTAATTTAAATTTTCATATCTTAGATTTTTGTTTTGATAAATGATTCAGAATGTTTTGGTATTCTATGGTACTTTGAAGTTTGAACATGTTACTTTGCTTGGCCTCTTATGGTTTGTGTTAATATAACATTTGATGACTTTTGATGAATATGTTTATTTTTTATTATGTTTATAATATATATATATATATATATATATATATATATATATATATATATATATATATATATATATATATATATATATATATATATATATATATATATATATATATATATATATATATATATATATATATATATATATATATATTACGCCTCAGCTATACGCCTCATTGCGCAATGAGGCTTACGCAATATGCAATATTAAAAAAACGCCATGACTATGCAATTCGCAATTTCGAACCTTGATCACAACATACATTCACATGTATGCTTAGCTCCATATCCGAATAGGCTCTAAGCAATATACACCATCTAGAGTGAGGAGTGAAGTGGGAGACGAAAAGGATTTCCGGTGTTCTTCCACGTTCTTCGACCGTTCATCAACAATATGGCTGGAGGTTAGCGATCCTATTATTTCCGCTGCGTTGTTATGATTTTAGGCTAACATTTGGTATCAGAGCTTGTTTAATCTCTGCCTATTTGTTGTATGAACATCATGAATTTTATATGAACATTCGGTATATACATGTTCATATATGTGTTCATCACCTCACACACATATATGTTTTGTTCGTATATATTATATATAAATATATATATGTGTATATGTTTAACATGATTTCCATGTCATATGCATGAATTGAACCATATGTGTGTGCTCATGTATATTCGTATGTGTTCATATGGAAGCATGGATTTTTGTGTGTGTTCGTATGACATATGTATGTATATTTGTGTCATATAATTTTATGTATGATTTTATATATAATCGTATGTCCTATAATCATACATATATGTTGTCCGAAAATTATATAATAATTGTTCGGAAATCATATGAGTTTATGAATTTGAATTGTTATATGTATATATATATATTTAATTTTGAGAGATATATGCATATGATTTTCTCAAGTTCATATGTTAACCTTTTAAATTCCTATCATTATGTTTGATGGAATGGTTATGGTGACATTTAATTCTTGAATTTAAGTGTTTTAAATTTATGAAATATATATATGCATGTATATGAACCGTGTGTATATACATGTGCTTCGCAATGTTTTGTGATTCTTCTATCCGTTTATAATTCGGAAAATATTAAAACGGATGGCTAATTAATAATTTTTGATATATTTTACATACATACATATGGCGTTTCTACATGTATATATGAAATTGAACATGTAGTATTTTGTATCTATGATTGGTATTTGTATGTGTGGAGGAGATGCTATCGGACATGGTGGCCGCCGGTTGATGTAGCACCATAGGGTGCTACGGCGGTAGTGCATGAGAGTTTTGATGCGCCTTCATAAGGAACGCCATGACTCTTTTTATGTTTTCCGAATTTCTCCATGAAGTTATAGAATAAGTTTTGGACTTATTACTATATTTGGGATCCACTTTGAATGAATTCAATTGTGCTATTTTAATTTGGATAAATTAATTTGGATTTTGGAACAATTTAATTCTTTTTCCAGCACATTTATTTTAATTATTACGTGATGCATTGATTTTAATTTTTATGCATTGCATTGAAATTGTGCATTGAAACTGTGCACTATATTAATGCCTTTAATGCGTAATATTGAAGTATTTAGTGCATAACGTATAATTAATATCTTTGATGCGTAACGTATTATTAATGCCTTCAAATGCGTAACGTCTTAAATTAATGCCTTGAATGCATAACGTCGGGAATCAATGCACATATTTTTCCCATTAAAGTTGAACTTATGCATAATTGTAATTGACATAGTGCCTAAAATTTAAGCACATTAAGTAAATAAAGTTCTCATTCCGTTACCTTTAAAGTTTTTCCCATGAATAAATTATTTGTGGTAGTACCCAAACAACAATTAACGTGAGAGGTTTAATCGGGGAAATTCTTGGGAAGTACAAACTAGTTACGCTTCAATTTTGATACTAGTTTTCCTTGAATTGTTAATTTGTCTAAAGAATTATTTTTTAATAAATTCTAGCCCCGTCCGACTATCCTGGGAGCATATTTGGGGATTGTCCATCACGAATGTTGTTTTAAGCTTTAAAGGATTGCCTTTGTGATAATATAATTTTATTAATTTTGGAGTAGCCACAGCATCCTTAATTAATTAAAATTATATATTAAGAAGCCTTTGGCGAAAATCACACTAAAGTTAGGCATAAAATTTGTAATTAATTATACGCAATATGACACAATTTATCCCATAGGAAATTTGTTGTATTTTGTATGATTAATTAGGATAAAATATCGGACTATGGTCATAATTTATCCCACAGGAAATTATGATTCGGAATATAGTTTGATATGTTTATCGGTATGGGTACAAAATTATTTAAGACTCATGCATAAGAATTTAGCACACAGGCAATTTTTATGGCGGTTGAGTCATCATGGTGCATTATTTACATTGGTAATTCATGCAATTCAGTTATATATGTACCTCAAAACTAACACAAGCTATATATGGACCTTTTCAGCTTCTCAACCCATTACTCATTCCGAATTTTCGTTAGGCCTTGAAATTCCCGAACTAACTGGTGACAACTATAAGGTTTGGAGAGAAAGAGTTCTCCTACACTTAGGTTGCATGGACATTGATTATGCTATTAGGAAGGATGAACCGCCCGCCATTAATGCACAAAGTACTCCGGCTGAAATTGCGCTATATGAGCGATGGGAGAGATCCAATCGGCTCAGCGTAATGTTTATAAAAACTAAAATTTCAGCTGGAATTCGTGGCTCGGTTGATCAGCATAAGAATGTCAATGACTTGCTTAAGGCTATTGATGATCAATTTGTCACTTCGGAAAAGGCCTTAGCAAGTACCTTAATCATGAAATTCTCCTCACTCCGTCTCACAACCGTTAAGGGTGTGCGAGAGCACATCATGAAGATGCGGGACATAGCGGCTCAATTGCAAAATTTGGAGGTAACAATGTCGGAGGCGTTCTTGGTGCACTTCATTCTGAATACCCTTCCTCACCACTATGGGCCATTTAAAATCTCTTATAACACACATAAGGATAAGTGGTCAATTAATGAACTAATGACCATGTGTGTGCAAGAAGAAGAAAGGCTCATAATGGAGTTGGGTGAAAGTGTCATGCTAGCTACAACCTTAGCCAAGAACAAATTTGACAAGTCTCGTACAACCACCTCTAAAGCTAAGGGTAAAGGTAAAATACCACCGAAGGCTGACATTAAGAAGGTACATAAGTGTTATTTCTGTAAAAAGAAAGGACACATGAAGAAAGATTGTGCCAAGTTCAAGAAGTGGTTGGAGAATAAAGGTATTTTATCCCCCTTTGTTTGTCATGAATCCAATATGTGTGATGTTAACACTAATTCATGGTGGATTGATTCTGGTTCTACAATCCACGTTGCAAACTCTTTACAGGGTATGCAGAATCTAAGGAAGCCAGTGGGAAGTGAGCAAAGCATCTTATCCGGAAACAAGATGGGCTCACATGTGGAAGCCATTGGAACATGCACCTTAATTTTAAGTAGTGGCTTTGTTTTAACTTTGGAAAAGACTTTTTATGTACCAAGTTTTTCACGAAACTTGATTTCAATTTCAAGACTAGTACCATTCGGTTTTTCCTTCAATTTCAAGAATAAAGTTATTGATTTATTCAATAAATCTACTTTTGTTGGAAAAGGTACTTTGTCTGATGGTCTTTACCGTATTGATTTGCAAAACGATGCCACACTTAATTCATTTCATGTGCATACTGGCTCCAAAAGACCCAGTGTTGACGAGAATTCCTCTATGTTATGGCACCGAAGATTGGGTCACATCTCCATTGAAAGAATTAAGCGATTAGTTAATGATGGGGTACTTAGTACTCTTGATTTTTCTGATTTTGAAACTTGTGTAGATTGCATTAAGGGTAAGCAAACAAACAAGTTTAAAAAGGGTGCCAATAGGAGTTCAAGTATATTGGAAATCATACATACTGATATATGTTGTCCAGAAATGGACATGCCGGGTTAGAAATATTTTATCACCTTTATTGACGATTACTCTCGGTATACCTATGTGTATTTGCTTCAAAATAAGTATGAAGCATTGGATGCCTTCAAGTCTTTTAAGGCTGAAGTTGAGAATCAATGTGGGAAGCGAATACAAATAGTTAGATCCGATAGAGGTGGTGAATATTATGGTAGATACACTGAAAATGGACAAGTACCTAGTGCGTTTGCTAAGTTTCTTCAAGAGCATGGGATTGTTGCCCAATACACCATGCCTGGGTCTCCGGACCAAAATGGTGTTGCGGAAAGGAGAAACCGAACGCTTATTGACATGGTGCGGAGTATGCTTAGCAACTCCAATCTTCCTAAGTTTTTGTGGGCTGAAGCACTAAAGACGACAACGTATATTTTGAACCGAGTTCCAACCAAGGCTGTCCCTAAAACACCTTTTGAGTTATTCAAAGGTTGGAAACCGAGTTTGAAACATATGCGTATTTGGTGATGACCGTCTGAAGTGAGAATTTATAACCCACATGAGAAGAAATTGGACCCAAGGACTATTAGTGGTTTCTTTATTGGATACGCACAGTCCTCTAAGGGTTACAAGTTTTATTGTCCATCTCATACGACTAGGATTGTGGAATCAAGAAATGCAAAATTTCTTGAGAATGACGTAGTTAGTGGGAGAGATCGGTTCAGGGATTTAATCCTGTTCATGATCATATGGAATCCCAACCTTCCACGTCATCACAGAGGTTGATTATTGTACACAGTACCCCTCAAGATCAAATTGGTACTGATCAATCTAATATTCCACAATATGCTGGAAATATTCCAGTGGATCCACCTATTCAGGATAATCAAATTCCTGAGGAGGTTGTTGAACCGGAAGATCCTCATGGAGATGATGGTTTAGCATTAAGAAGATCTACTCGAGTTAGAAAGCCAGCAATTTCTAGCGATTATGAAGTGTATTTGCAAGAAACTGACATTGGAGCCGAAAATGATCCTGAAACGTTTTCACAAGCCATGAGTAGCCCGGAGTCCGATTTATGGCACAAAGCTATGAAGGAAGAAATGGACTCCATGAAGAGTAACAAAGTCTGGGATCTAATAGAGTTGCCTAATGGGGCCAAGGCTGTTGGCTGTAAATGGGTCTATAAGACCAAAAGAGATTCATTAGGCAACATTGATAGATATAAAGCAAGACTTGTTGCTAAAGGCTTTACTCAAATCGAAGGAATTGACTACAAGGAGACATTCTCTCCTGTTTCTAAGAAAGATTCCCTTCGTGTGATTTTAGCTTTAGTTGCACATTTCAATCTTGAATTGCAACAAATGGATGTGAAAACAGCATTTCTTAATGGTGATCTAGAAGAAGAGGTTTACATGAAACAACCTGAAGGTTTTTCTTCTAGTCATGGTGAGCATTTAGTTTGCAAGCTTAATAAATCCATTTACGGTTTAAAACAAGCCTCTCGACAATGGTATCTTAAGTTCGATGGGATAATTTCTTCATTTGGCTTTGTTGAAAGTCCCATGGATCATTGTATATACCAGAAGGTTAGTGGGAGTAACATTTGTTTTCTTGTTTTATATGTGGATGACATTTTGCTCGCAACAAATGATAAGGGGATGCTACATGAAGTGAAACAATTTCTCTTTAAAAACTTTGATATGAAGGATATGGGTGAGACATCTTTTGTCATTGGCATAAAGATTCATAGGGATAGATCTCTTGGTGTTCTGGGTCTATCACAAGAAACCTATATCAACAAAGTTTTAGAGAGGTTTCGGATGAAGGATTGTTCACCGAGTGTTGCTCCCATAGTGAGAGGAGATAAATTCAGTTTGGACCAATGTCCAAAGAATGATTTTGAAAGAAAAACCATGCATAATATCCCATATGCGTCGGCAGTTGGTTGCTTGGGATATATCCAGGTTTGTACTAGGCCGGATATTTCCTTTGCTGTCGGGATGTTGGGCCGCTACCAGAGTAATCCAGGTCTGGACCACTGGAGAGCTGTTAAGAAGGTCATGAGGTATCTTAAGGGAACAATTGATTACAAGCTTGTGTATAGAAGAACTGACAACTTGGAAGTTGTGGGTTATTCTGACTCGGACTACGCCGGTTGTGTTGATTCAAGGAAATCGACTTCGGGATATATTTTTATCATGGCCGGTGGAGCTGTTTCTTGGAAGAGCGCCAAACAAACTTCGGTCGCTACTTCTACTATGGAGGCCGAGCTCATTTCTTGTTTTGAGGCTACATCGCAAGGTGTATGGCTTATGAATTTCATTTCTGGGCTTAGAGTTATGGACTCAATATCTAGACCATTAAAGATTTATTGTGACAACTCTGCTGCGGTCTTCCTATCAAAGAATGACAAAAGTGGGAGTCGAATTAAGCATATCGACACCAAATATTTGTCTATAAGGGAGCGCGTAAAAAATAAGATAGTGGTCATTGAGCACATTAGCACAGAGTTGATGATTGCTGATCCTTTGACTAAAGGCATGCCACCATTCAAATTCAAGGATCATGTGTCGAATATGGGACTTTGTTCCAATTTGTATTAATACATTCAGTTATTTACGAAATCCTTATGCATTAAGACATTTTTCTCATTAAGATGTGCACACTTCATTATGTTGAGAAAAATGTACCATTATTTTTGGACCAGCAATAAACATAAGGTTTATTCATTAAGTTTTGCCATAACTTAAGGGGCAACATACATTGTGATCACTAGTGGTACTACTCAAGCTAAGAGGACGTAACACTATGGTTCATGTCTTTTGTTTCTTAAGGTTATCCATTGCACCAAGTGGGAGAATGTAACATTATTTTGAAATATTTGAATTAATCAAATAATAATGTCCCATAAGTGTGGTGCAATGATGGCGGATATTGTAACGGTTTCCGTTACAAGAGCCACCTTGATGGTAGGTGGCTATATAAGTGTTCCATGGTCCTCCCACTCCTCCTATCACAACATACATTCACATGTATGCTTAGCTCCATATCCGAATAGGCTCTAAGCAATATACACCATCTAGAGTGAGGAGTGAAGTGGGAGACGAAAAGGATTTCCGGTGTTCTTCCACGTTCTTCGACCGTTCATCAACAATATGGCTGGAGGTTAGCGATCCTATTATTTCCGCTGCGTTGTTATGATTTTAGGCTAACAATATATAGTATAACGTAACTAACTCTTTAACAAACGTGAAAATATAATACACAATCTTAAAAGTGCACAATTAGAAGTTAAAAGTGCACAATTTTAATGTTAAAAGTTCATATTAGATAAATTCACGATCTTCAATGAGAAATGCACAAAAATATATATGAATGATGCACAAAGCTGTAAACTAACAACAATGTTTTTTAGTGCATACAAAAGTACGTTAACTTTCAAATTGATAGAAATCCATTTTCATTTTGTATATACTATTTTATTTTAAAATTTTAGCTTAGATCCACAAATACGTTGGAATAAAAAATCAAAACCAGTTATTATGGAACCAAGCTTGTATAATAATAAATGAAAAAGAAAATAACAAATTTAAAGTAAAAACCAAATATAAGAGATATTACCCAAAATGGGACTAAAAAAGTTTTGAAATTCCAAAATAGGACTTCCATGTTTTTATTCCCAAAATAGGACTAATTACTGTCATGTTTTGGCAGTACCAGACTTCAAACATGACAGTATTTTCCAAATTTGGCAGTAATTAGTCCTATTTTGGGAATAAAAACATGACAGTCCTATTTTGGAATTTTCAAACTTTTTTAGTCCCATTTCGGGAACTTTCCCCAAATATAACTGTGAAGCACTATGAATTTAGATCTTACATCAAAGAAATAACGAGGATATAGTAAAAAGGTAACAAATAATAAAAGAAAGAAGTAAACAAAGAGTGAACGTGGTGAAAGAATTAAATGATGAGTGAGAAGTATACAAAATATCACCGATAAACATGGAAACGTATAAGAAATGACAAAATAGCCCTACACATGTAATTACGATTCTCTAAAAAAGGCTATTGATCGGATGGTTATAATTCATTCTGATTTCTCTCCTAAGATGTCTTTCTCACTTAATCCTAAATATATATATATATATATATATATATATATATATATATATATATATATATATATATATATATATATATATATATATATATATATATATATATAGGAGATAGTTCAAGTGAGAATGGTCTCTTAGGAGAGAAATGAGAATTAAATCTAGGAATTTTATCGGTCCAGGACCTCAAAGATGAGCGTTCTATCAATTAGGGACCCGAAAGATAAACTCTATCAATTAGGGACCTATATAGGTCCCTAATTATTACATTCTATATTATTACATTCTATCAATTAGGGACCTATATAGGCCCCTAATTGATAGAGTTTATCTTTCGGGTCCCTAATTGATAGAACGCTCATCTTTGAGGTCCTGGACCGATAAA